CAAATATTAATTGTCAAACAAATAAATTGAAATAAATAATTGATCATGATAAGCACAGCAAGAAATGCCACAGATCAAATGATAAACCAAATGATAGACAGATCAAATAATCAAATGATAATAAATGATAAAATGATAAATTAACAATTAACGATACAAATGATAAATTAATAATACAAATGATAAATTAATAATACGAACTAATTAATAATAAAAAATTATTACCTGCAACGAATTGTTAAAAAATCGGAAAAATTTTTAGCAGATAGCTGAAAATAATGTTGCATAGTTGCTGGTTCAAATCTCAACCGTTTTTGTTCATTATTGGTTAATTCTTTTCGTGGAAAAAGATCTGCATAATATGGTGGACATTTTCTATCTGATGGTGTCATCGTGAAAAAACTCGAATAGTTAACATGTTGTGCTATAAACATATAATGCATATCATACCAAGATTCATGTTTTTCCATTGAACAAACTGAAAATATTTTAGAATTCATGGTTCAAAATAAGATGTTTGCAATATTGATAAATGTTTATATTAAGAAAAGAAAAAAGAAAAAGGAAAAAGAATGAATCAGTGACAAAACCAATATCAATAATTTATGCTACTTTGATATTAGTTAAATTTTATATTAAAAATGAAAATTATAATTGGAAATTAAGAATGAACCTATGATAAAACCAATATCAATAATTTATGCTACTTTGATATCGATAAAACCAATGTCAATAATTTATGCTACTTTAATATTAGTTAAATTTTATATTAAAAATGAAAATTATAATTGGAAATTTAATTAATCATTTTGTAACGTTATGAATTATTTGTTGGAAAAAAAAGTTGTTTAGAGAAAATTTGAAAAAGTATAAGATCATTGATACTAAAATTTATTTATAAATAGTTTTTTCTTTCTCGGTACAAATTTTTAGGATAAAAAGAAAAATTAATAAAAATGACCATTTTGTAATACAGGAATTGCCATTATACAACCAAAATCTACACGACGTTCAATATCAGGAGTAGCATCAATTATCAGTAATTGTTGTAGAGCAATAATCACTTGAAATGGCTTATCACTCCATAAATTCATGGATAATTCTTCACCAGATCCATAATATGCAAAAATAGAAGAATTTTTCTCTATCTGAAATTTATATCAAACACAAAAAAAATCAATTTTATCGTTAAAAAATTAAAATTATAAATATTTGAAATTACCTGTAACTTGAATTCTCCAAAACATTTTAGTTATTAATTTTTGATATTAAAATGAAATTTATGAAAAAATTAATAGTATGATGTCCGAGTTATTGTTGCATTAATGGAATAAAAAAAAAAAGAGTTCTCTGTACTATTTACAGTATTCTGCTACTGCTTACAGTATTCCGTTCTTTATAGTATAATAACCGTGTAATCATGTTGAACTGTTCAAAAAAAAAGTGAAAAAAAGAGGAAATTAGTTAAATGTTTTTTCTAGTTAGAAAATAAATGCACGCAAAAAAAAAACAAAAAATTCCTTCTCATCCGATATCGTTTTACTTTACAGTATGTGCACGAATATACAGTACCATATGTGATAACTATTTTGTTGATAATATCCACTTTCGAAAAAAAAAAGAACTCATTCACTCAAAAACTAGCAAGAATACTTTCGTTTCATGAACAATTAGTTCTTTAACTGATAAATTTTAATCAGTGATACTAACTTTAGCAACAGAATGCAAAAAATTGAAAAAAAAAGACAGAAAGGAAAGGAAACTGTAAATATTCTTCATGAAGCTCTTTCGGCATGATATTATCATTAGAAATCAAATTATAAAAAAAAAAACCTACCGTAGCTCTAATTAAACCTACAGTAACTCTAATTTAATTGTAAATAAAATCTTTGCGAATAATCTTATTCCATAATTACTTATGATACTGATGTTTGTACACCTAAGTTAACTACAATTCTCAGTTGGATATTCAAATCGAATCAACTATTACAACGACATAGAGATCGTTGAATCGTTAACATTTAAAAAAAAAAAAAAATTGATGAAAATTTTATCAAAGAATAATACCGTAGCTTCAACATTGTAAAATTTTTCCATTCCATTAACATTTGCTATAATTGATATTTGTGTTGTTTGATTAAATGGTAAAAAATATATGATTGTATGACTATTATTAGCAATTGATTTAGGTAATGAAAATGAATACTTTTGGCCAGCCATTTGTTGTGGTAATACTGAAATATTTCATTTCAATGCTATTTTTTATGTATATAATACAAAAAGTATTAAAATTCTTTCATTTTTATTAATTTTCAAGAATTTATTTTATAGTATATATAACAGTAACATTATAAATTTATACATATATATACATTTAAAAGGTAAGGGATTGTTATTAGAATCATTAAAATGAATCTAACAATATTTGTGAATCTATGAATCTAACAATATTTGTGAATCTATGAATCTAACAATATTTGTGAATCTATGAATCTAACAATATTTGTGAAATCTAAAATGAATCTAACAATATTTGTGAATCTAAAATGAATTCTAACAATAAAACTAAAATGAATCTAATAGTATTTGTGAATCTAAAATGAATCTAACAACTACGAAACAAAACATTTCTTTTTATTGTTTATTGAAAATAAAACAGTTAAATTTGGTAGTTTTATCAAAAGTTTATCCAATTTATTAATTTATAAAATTTTTATTAATTCATTAATTTTCATAATTTCAATTCCATTTCTCACCTGGAAACATAATGGATCATAGTGTTACTGGTCAAAGTGATATAACAAAACAAATATGGAATAAGAATGTAAAATTATATTATAACTTTCATTAAGATTATCAATGTGCAGTAATATATGCATATATTTTACATATTTATATATTAACTATCAAGAAGATAATGGGAAAAT